CCAATTTTAAGGCAACCTAAGGTTTTCACAAGCACATTCATAATAAAGTAAACAATCGAAGTCAAATCAGGAGAGGACAGAAAGTGCCCTAAATTGTGCACATAAACTACTAGCACACTGGTGCGAAAACAATGGAATGGTAATCAACACCACGAAAACTGCATTCCAAACTTTTTCTTTGGCCCGTCGCAGCATAAACCCGCTTCTAAGGTACAAGAATACTACCATTGAAAAAACCAATGAGAACACATTTCTCGGAATGACTTTTGACACAAAGCTAACGTGGAAAAGTCACATTGCTAAAATTGAGGAACGAGTCTCCAATAGACTGAATGTATTGAAGCGACTTGCTGGTAGCGTATGGGGCTGTGCACGCTCAACTCTCGACACAACTTACAAGATGTTTTTTCAGACAATAATGTTGTTTTGCTGTGAGCCACTCATTACAGCCACAGAAGTGACTCTCAAACCACTCGAGAAGGCACACAACCAAGCATTACGACTAATTACTGAAGGGGTAAAATCAACACCCATTGATGCAATGCTACTAGTTACAGGAAGCACCACAATAGGTTCCCTTATCAAAGAGAAGGCCTTGATCCTGTATGAGAAGCTACTACGCATTCGGCACCTATGCCAATTATGTTGCCTGGATACGAAATTCACCAAAGCGGTGATACTTTCGGACTCACAGTCACCAATAAACTTAATCGGAAACAGAGAGACACCCAAAACAGCTGAGATAAAGGAATGTAGAAAACTCTATGAGCTGCTGAGAGAGAAAAACAAAACAGTGGTCCTACAATGGATTCCTGATCACTGTGGCATTAAAGGCAATGAGCTTGCTGACACACTTGCTATGAAGGGGACAACAATTTTGCAATGCATGGACCGGCCGATGTCTTTCCACACAATGAAGGCCTTAATCAGAAGAGAATTCCAGACCTCAAAGTGCAACGAACTCAAAGCTCGAACAAAGGAGAAACAGTGGAAATGAAGGCCTTAATCAGAAGAGAATTCCAGACCTCAAAGTGCAACGAACTCAAAGCTCGAACAAAGGAGAAACAGTGGACAGTGGCGCTCTCCGACATAGCCCACTGGCCAAGAATCGAAGCCGTTGCTGAGTTCAGACTACGTACCGGACACGATTGCTTAGCAAAACACCTTCACAGATTAGGAGTACACACTCAACTCACATGCCCTCTATGTAACCTACATGAGGAAATGGAGAAGACCCACCTGATTCGGTGTCCAGCCCTAAAGACAACGACGGAAAGCCAGAGATACTGGGAAGCAAGAAGACAGCTAATGAATTGCTATTAATTAACTGCTATATGCGTACCTCCCACCCTTGGGGGAAGCTGAAGTCAAAGTTTAAGGGCTAATGGTAAATATCATAAAGCCTGCCATTTGAAATAAATAAATAAAGTAAACACTTTGTCATAATTATGATAACTGAATCCAATTGATGATAAGCATGAAAATCATGGATGATGGAATTTAGAGGCCTGAGTTCAGTTTTGTTAATTAATGTCAAAAACTAATATAGATATCGAAATTGGAAAACCTTGCAATACATAAAAGGTACAATATGTTTGATTATAAGCAGCAATAATATTGACCATTTAGAGATAATTAACTCAAACACACACAAATGGATTTAAACTGGTACTGAAGTATTCCAGGAGGTCAAAGTACCTATAGTAAGCAAAAATAAGAATTAAAGACAGACTGTTTCCAATTAAACTGTCATCCGATATAAGGTTAACGTTGTCATATTTATAAAGGACATCAGATTTAAGCAAATTATCATGTAAGCCATAAAGCGGGCAAATGAAACAAAAGACAATTAAAGGACAAATATTTCATTATCATTACGAGAAGACAGTAAAGTCAAACAAAATGGGAAAATCAGGGGGGGGGGAACTAGAGTGAATGTCGGCAACTCAGTTCTGTTTCTAATTGACACGAGTAAAACCATTCATTGCAAATAAGGTGCAGCACAATTTGTAAAAAAGGACTAGAATTCTGAATGGAAAGATTCTAAAAGAGAAAAAGGGCATGACAAAAATATATCAAGCAGAGTGATTGTCGGCAACTCAGTCCTGTTTTTTGTTAGCACGAGTAAAATTATTCATTGCAGTCAAGGCACCGCTTAATTTGTAAAAATGGACCAGAATACTGAATGGAAACATTCTAAAAGAGATAAAGGAGAATGAGACATATCAAGGAAAAAGAAGATAATGACTTTTAGCGCTAACAAACCTGTGAATTAATGGAATAAGCCAAAGCCTCTTTGGAATATACACAATTGTCTTCCGATATCGAAGAGCTTCAACAATCTGCTCGCTCACGTTTACTTGATCCAGAATCGGTAATATCGATAACCTAAAAGGGCGCGATTAAAGACTCCGAACCAACATACTTTGAAGTAAAACCCTCAAACATTCCAGTTCCAATGGCATAGGGGCGAATATCCGTAACAGCAATCTTGTCATGCATTCCAGCAGTATACAGTTCCAATCTCAGAGAATCCGCTAAAGCGGTCAATGCAGCTTTAGAAGCACAGTAATCAGCAAGTGCAGTAAAAGGTGCCTGGCTTGCAATCGAAGACATGAACAATAGATGGCCCTTAGGTTCAGCTTCAAGAAAACACTTTCTTGAAACATCTTCTCTTGGCTTAGATCTTAAATTCGGAGGAATGCGATCCAGAACTTCATTATAAGCGCTTCCGAGCATTCCAGGCAAAAACTCCTTAATCAACTTAATATTTACTTAGAAAGTTTATAAAAATAACCACACATAGAAGGACGCCATAAGATTGACTTTGATAAGTCTTTCAACTTTTTCAATCGGGATATCAATAAGAAAGTTGCCATTAACTATACCCGCATTGCTGATTAGGACAGTAACTCTGCCATGCTTTTTGCGTATTTCTTCTGCAAGATTTTCGATGGCATTTCGATCGCTTGAAGTAAAATTATTAGAAATAATTCACACAACTACCTTAAGTCGCACTCGTAACAAATCAATGACACTCCGGTTTGTTTACTGACGATATCAGCAGTTTCCTTTAAGCCTTCCGCATTTACATCGACAGCAATAATGTTTTGGCAGTAACGTGCCAATAATGATGCAAGAAGTCGACCGATTCCATGAGCAGCGCCTGAGAGAACAAAATTATTCAACGATACCTTCGATTACCAGTAATGAGGATAAGTTCATTAGATAAATCAGCCGGTTTTTTGATTAAACGTCGATAAATTAAAAATAGCACAAATGCAGAAACAAACAAAACGGCGACGGCAGCCCACATGGATCTTCGCAGAAGAAGGTACCTGAAATGGTATTAAGAATGAGACGGGGATGTTCAACAAGCCTCCTTACTGCAAGGTCATTCTTTATGTCAATTATGCTAAGTATTAATATAAGATATTATTTTATAGAAATATTTCACTTTAATTGCCTCGATCAATTTTACAAATTAAAAAAATTGCCTATAATAATTTTCTATTGTTATTGATATATCGTATCTACGCATACATCTAAATAAATATTTGAGAGTAAGGAGGCTAATCTTTTCAAAAT